AGAGAAAGTAAGCAACAGCTCCGCTCTTGCTATCACTCACTTGAACCTTGGCTTGATCGCTAAGGATTTCAGACAACTCCACAGCGTAATATGCCAATTCGCAAACTGTAAACGTACAGAAGTTGGCCATTGGTAGTAATAATAATTTGTTACAGTAACGATTAAGTTTTAAAGAAGTTACCCAGTGTTGGGCATGGATACTCCTCAACCAAATCAGCCGTGAGGTTAACCAGCGCATCGGCGGTGGTGTTAAAACCCAGTTGGCGTTGCCTGTGATGTTCGACAGGATCTGAAACCATTTTGAAACAACCTGGGGCGCTTCTCGACTTGGGAGAGCACCTTGAGCGTTCGCTGCTTTCTGGTTTTTATCAAATTACAAGTCACACCTTGGTGAGGACCTATGGACCCTTTTCAAGTGTGAGCCTAGCTCCACCTCAGCAGGATTTTACAGGTCGTCACAAGAGGCATCGGCAGAGATCGATGGAAATCAGCGAAATGCCCCCACCAAGCCGAGTAGCGCCCAATCTGGACTAACACACTGGCTAAAAGCAACTCTAATTGAGTGATAGAAGGCGAAGCACTCAGAGTTATTTTTGGGATCACACCAAGCATTAGATCCACTGGAAGTTGTCAAAGAAATCCGGCAAACATCATAAATATGAGGCGCAAGAGCGTTACTTTATCCTCAAAAATCCCACTGAATGCTTTCGTGGAGTGGGCCTTGAATGGAGGGTTAATGCTGATCCTGTGGGCGGAAAGCCTTGTGTCTTCCTCAACCGTTTACCTATCCATTCTAGCAGGGTGGAGGACGATATGCTCAACGGAAATGATTACGGTTGGCTGTCTCCGCCCACTCGCTTCCCGCTCGACCATCGTAAACTGTCTCCGCTGGCCAAGACTTATCAAAAGCCCTCCTCGCATTCCAATCTTCAAAGAAACGGTATGCACCGAACTGATAGGCGGTTCTCACATTGCACCTTTTTTTAGCGCGCCCCGACGCTGGCTTAGGGGGCATGCAGCACTTCCGCTAGTGTCTTTTGCTAGTCCATGTTCAATAAAACGTTTCAGACTTGTGGACCCTGTCATGATTGTGAGAGGCTTATGCTGCTGCACAACTTTACGCTCACAAGTTTTTACAAAAAGTAGACAAGAGCCGGCAAACGCCCCCACTATGCGTTGTGCCGTGCCCGCTGGTAAATGGTAGAGAGGAAGGATGCAACACAACTGTCTCTGCTCACCCGCTCGGCGCGGGTTATATCTTCGAGAATATTTTCCTTAGTTCTCTGGGTTGCTGCTGACACAAGTAGGTCCCATCAATCATCATCGGATGAGACGTTCTAAGGTCAGTACTAAATCCAATTCTCACCTTTCTAGTGTCGTCAGGATAACCGTTTCCATCTCCAACGAAGAAAATGTCGACGCCCATTTGTTTCAGTTCGCTCCCCACGCTTATGATTTCCGTCCATGTGTCGGGTGTCAACGGATAGGGCCTAAGAATAACAGGAAGTTAACAAAGTTGTAGAATTTCCTGCAACATTGAATGATTGCTAAATACTCACTGTCCGTCCGATAGGAACACCATCGTTCTACCGTGAGTTGTGCCACCACCCTGCTTGAACATATCGCGTCCGGCTTTCATTGCTCTGAAAACGTCTTTCTTAGCAGTCTTCCAAAAAATGCTGTGAGCTCTCTAGGAAGGCACAGATTGTGGGACATCGCATGAGCAAGAAAAGGATTTCCTTGCTAGTTGACGCTACAAACTGCAACACTTCCTCTTTTAACCAATCTGGTCTTTTGGTCGCAGGTTCCGTATCAAGGGGCTGGGTTTGGCAGGGCGCCAGCATTTTTTCCACCATTTGTTGCTACCAGCCCTTTTTTCCAATCGCTGGAGAATGGCCGAACCCAGCTTCACCTCGCACGCCCTAGCATCCGCAGTGATCAGGACTGGAGGTTCTGGTGCGAATGCAGCTCAAGTGGCACCATTTGCGACGCCTTTTAACCTCTCAGAGTCAGCGCGAAATGCAGTAGTACTCACGCGAGTGTATTTGTTGTTCCGCCCGTGTAATGAATTCCCTTCACAGCCGTTGTGAAATCGTCAAGTGATCGCTCTCCGAGGTCACGTACCGTTTTTACGTCCGAACTGAAATGGAAGGCTTAGAACATTGTAGTGTATAACGCTTGTGTAGGCAGACCTGAATGAGATGATTCCTGTTCGGGTGTTGTCGCCATCTACTGCACCGGTAAGGGTGTACTGGGAAATGAACTGCACTGAGAAATTCGCGTAGTTCTGAAATAGAGGTTTGGAGCACCTCAATTATCGAGATCACCCATGACAAGACTCCTAATTGCATACCGTACTGCACTCCCCATTTCACGTCCTTCGAGCTTTCTATAATGACTCTTCTATTTGCCTTGCTCGGGGTAAAACCCTGTTCCTCGTTGATGTCACTACATCAGGCCTGGAGGACCTTTACCTTTGTTACTCGAACTT